GTTTAGGGTTTAGGGTTGGGGTTCTGCAGCTCTCTTCTTCAACAACCAGGCCCCAAAAAATTCAAACTTTTTAGGATAGACCTAATAGATAAGGCTAAAAAGTTTAAAGTTCTCCTATTGGCTATCTAAGGCAGTTAAACTGGTGCCCCAGAGTTTGGAGCATGGAATGCTGCGCCTCAGAGGCTTTCAGAAAAGGGCCATATGATGGTTCAGTCACTTTGATGTGACCCACCACCCTCTCACCAGCTGGCGCCGTAACTGAACATACTGAAGCAACAGGGTGCGCACTATAACAACACACGTCGTGTCATATTACAAATGAAGCCGGCATCGCTCAAGTCGAAGGCACAATCATCTCGGGGGTGCTGGGGTAGGATTAGCCTTAGCATTTGTAATCGCCTTAGTATTATTGCTTGTACTCGTATTCGTGTCCGTATTAGTGCTAGAAGCAGGGGCAGTAGCAGCAGCAGCAGAAGTTGTAATTGGGCGAAGGAGGCGGAGGAGTAGCACTGGATGTTCTTGCTGCTGGCGTTCTTGCCGTAGTCGTCGTGAAACTCAAAACCCTAAAGCTCCAGATCCAGCTCATGAAACCATCAAGGCCTTAGCTGACATCAGAAACCCTACTGTATAGTCCCCATGTAACTGCTGTATATTATGCCGCCTAATCCCTAAAGCTCTAGGCACTAATTGGCGCTGGGCTCTTGTAGAAGTCGCGCAGGGTCTTCAGCGCGGACTTCACTCCCTCCATGCCGGTCACGGTCTCCGGCTCCTTTGGCTCTGGCACTTACAGGGGGATCCTGTAACTACCACTATATGGGTAGTTTTTCTAAATTAGGGTCCCCAAAATAGTACGGCACTCTTACAAAAAGGGCCCTAAAAGGGACCCTAATTTAGAGAACTACCCATGTTATGAGGCATACTACTATTGCACAAGGCATAGACACAAGGGCATGTGTTGATCCGGGGTCGTTTGCATTGCAACTTATTGCGAGCCTCAATAGATTTAAAGTCCCGATGGCTAGGACGGAGGACTTTGTTTGACGAGCCTACGATAGCCTAAGCCCCCCCAAAACGTCTAATCCGGCTTCGAAAGAGCAGGATTTCGGGTTTGGGGTGTAGGGCAGGCCGACCCAAACCCTCACCTCGAAAGTTTGCCCCAAATCACCTCGCATCACGCAGCCCTTAAGCGAGAGCCTAAACCATGACAGCCTGAAGCCCTAAACCGAAACGCCCTAAACCAGCTTGGCGAAGCGAGATCCCCCATCCAACTCCTTCGTCTTGAAGAGAGACGTCTCCTCCGATGTAAAGTGCTTCAAGCTTCTGGGTATGAACCCTAAACCCTGAACCCTAAGCCCTAAGGCCTTTGGGTTAGGGCGTCGCAGTTCGGCGGCTTAGAGTAAGCCCCAAAAAGTTGGAAACCGGAGTAAGGACAGTCAGTGCTGCGATTCCCTATACATTACTCCTATAAGGATTGAGGCTATTGGGTTTCCGACTTTTCGGCTTATCCTATAGCAGTTTAGAGGGAGCGCGAGAGTCGGCAGGGGGCTTTGCTCACCAACTCCCGAACCGAAGCAGCCGCGATCAGGGGCACATGAAATTGTGCGGGCTTGCATACTTAAAGGATCATGGGA